AGGAGGAGCAGGAGAAGAAGGACGAGCAGGAGGAGGAGGAGGACGAGCAGGAGGAGGAGGACGACCAGGAGGAGGAGGATGACCAGGAAGAGGAGGAGGAGGAGGAGGAGGAGGAGGGGGAGGAGTACCAGGAGGAGGAGGAGGAGGAGGAGGAGGAGGAGGAGGAGAGAAGGAGAGGAGGAGGAGGAGGAGGGACGAGGACGAGGAGGAGGAGGAGGGGGGGGGGAGAGAGTACCAGGAGGAGGAGAACGAGGACCACCAGGAGGAGGAGGAGGAGGAGGAGGAGGAGGAGGAGAGGAACACCAGGAGGAGGAGGACGAGCAAGACGAGGAGGACGAGAACGAGGACGACCAGGAAGAGGAGGAGGAGGAGGAGGAGGAGGAGGGGGGAGGGGGAGGACTACCAGGAGGAGGAGGAGGAGGAGGAGGAGGAGGAGAGGAGGAGGAGGACGAGGAGGAGGAGGAGGAGGAGGACGAGGAGGAGGAGGGGGGGGGAGAGCACCAGGAGGAGGAGAACGAGGACCACCAGGAGGAGGAGGAGGAGGAGGAGGAGGAGGAGGAGAGAGCACCAGGAGGAGGAGGACGAGCAAGACGAGGAGGACGAGAACCAGGACGAGCAGGAGGAAGAGGAGGAGGAGGAGGAGGAGGAGGAGCAGGAGAAAGAGGAGGAGGAGGAGGAGGAGGCAGGCTGAGGCTGAGGCTGTGACTGCGACTGCCGTTGCCGCTGCGACTGTCATCGCGAATGCGACTACGACTGCGAGAACAGCAGAATTCGACAACTGGATTTTCATCTGAGTCTTAAGGGGAATGCTTTCAGATATGCTTCTACACATCGCTGTTAGGTTGCTTTGCCGGGATAATTTACCTAACAGCGAAGACTGATAGGTTTCTAGTTGACTCAAAAGAGCTCACATATCACTCCACAGGGGGGTCCGGGCAGGTGTTGGGGAGTTGCCGGGCGGCAGGGTGCCGGGCTCGTTTTTCACCAACAGTCACACACTTCGTGCTCTTCGACTTCCCAGAACTCCATTCCCAGGCCACATTCTGAATACCCGGATGCAACAGTCACACACTTCGTGTTCTTCGAGATCCCAGAACGCCATTCCCGGGCCACATTTAGAATAACCGGATGCAACAGTCACACACTTCGTGCTCTTCGAGTTCCCAGAACTCCATTCCCGGGCCACATTCTGGAGGGCCGGATGCAACAGTCACACACTTCGTGCTCTTCGAGTTCCCAGAACTCCATTCCCGGGCCACATTTTGGATGCCCGGAGCCAACTGTAGGCCACTTCGTGCTCTTCGAGTTCCCAGAACTCCATTCCCGGGCCACATTTTGAATGCCCGGAGCCAACTGTAGGCCACTTCGTGCTCTTCGAGTTCCCAGAACTCCATTCCCGGGCCACATTTTGAATGCCCGTAGCCAACTGTAGGCAACTTCGTGCTCTTCGACTTCCCAGAACTCCCATTCCTGGGCCACATTTTCAGCAGGGGCAAGAGCACGACGAGGAGGAGGACGAGCAAAACCAGGAGGACGAGGACGAGCAGGAGCAGGACGAGGAGCAGGAGGAGCAGGAGAAGAAGGACGAGCAGGAGGAGGAGGAGGACGAGCAGGAGGAGGAGGACGACCAGGAGGAGGAGGACGACCAGGAAGAGGAGGAGGAGGAGGAGGAGGAGGGGAGGGGGAGGAGTACCAGGAGGAGGAGGAGGAGGAGGAGGAGGAGGAGGAAGGAGGAGGAGGAGGAGGAGGAGGACGAGGACGAGGAGGAGGAGGAGGAGGGGGGGGGAGAGTACCAGGAGGAGGAGAACGAGGACCACCAGGAGGAGGAGGAGGAGGAGGAGGAGGAGGAGGAGGAGGAGGAACACCAGGAGGAGGAGGACGAGCAAGACGAGGAGGACTGAGGACGACCAGGAAGAGGAGGATGAGGAGGAGGAGGAGGACGGGAGAGGGGAGGGGGAGGACTACCACGAGGAGGAGGAGGAGGAGGAGGAGGAGGAGGAGGAGGAGGAGGAAGAGGAGGAGGAGGACGAGGAGGAGGAGGAGGAGGAGGACGAGGAGGAGGAGGGGGGGGGAGAGCACCAGGAGGAGGAGAACGAGGACCACCAGGAGGAGGAGGAGGAGGAGGAGGAGGAGGAGGAGGAGGAGGAGGAGGAGAGAGCACCAGGAGGAGGAGGACGAGCAAGACGAGGAGGACGAGAACGAGGACGAGCAGGAGGAAGAGGAGGAGGAGGAGGAGGAGGAGGAGGAGGAGGAGGAGCAGGAGAAAGAGGAGGAGGAGGAGGCAGGCTGAGGCTGAGGCTGTGACTGCGACTGCCGTTGCCGCTGCGACTGTCATCGCGAATGCGACTACGACTGCGAGAACAGCAGAATTCGACAACTGGATTTTCATCTGAATCTTAAGGGGAATGCTTTCAGATATGCTTCTACACATCGCTGTTAGGTTGCTTTGCCGGGATAATTGAGAGTCGAAAAAAAGCGAGAACGCTAAATTATTGCTTTTAACCACAGGACAATCAATGATTTCGGCCTCTGGAGGCGCAGTTGTGGGCGCTCTTGGGGCCCTCTTGGGCCGTCCTTGGGGCTTTGGGGGCCCTCTTGGGGCCGTCTTGGGGGCCTCATGGGCCCCCGTTGGGAATATCTTGGGCCGTCCTGGGGCCGTCGTGGGCCGTCTTGGGGGCATCTGGAACCCTCCTGAGGCCTTGCTGGGCCCCCAAGAGGGCCAACAGGCCCAAATCATGGATTTCCCATACGTTTTGGCACGTTTTGGGGCCCCAGACGGGGGGCCGCCACTTTGGTACGGCGCTGTGGCGCGACCCCAGGGGGGGGTTAGGGGGGAGACATAATATCGCAAAACAACACAACATGTAGAAACTACGCAATGATTAGATTCGTTGGATGCGTTGCAGTACAGCATCCGCGGACCTGCCTCCGGCAACACGTCACTGCCGGACGTGGCTTCTTGGGCGAACGCCGCCCTGCCGACCCCTTGGGGGGCTCGTGGTAGGTCTCTCGGGGGCCTCCTGGCAGCACCTTTGAGGCCTTTTGGGGGCCGCTTTCGGGCCTCTTGGGGCCTCTTTTGGGCCTTTGGTGGGCCTCTTGGAGCCTTGCGGCGGCTTCTTGGGGGCCTCCTGGGGGCTTCTTGCGGCCGAGGGCTGGAAATTTCCGTTCGGGTCCCCCGCCTGGGCCCCTTCCTGGAGCCGTCTTGGGGGCCTCTTGGGCCGTCTTGGGGCCCTCTTGGGCCGTCTCGGGGCCTTCTTTAGGGCTTCCTGGGTCGTCTCGGGGCGATTTTGGATGCCTCTTGGGCCGTCTTGGACGTTGTGAAAACCCAGGATGCGAATGTGCTAAAATCGCACGTTTCCCCAAGGGGCTGGGACGATGTTTGCTTCCGGGGGCCCTCTTGGGACGCCTTTTGGGGCGTTTCGGGGGCCTCTTGGGCCGTCTGGGGGCCACTTGGGGCGTCTTGGAACGATCCATCGGCAATTCGGGGCCCTCGTGGGGACCTCTTGGGGCCCTCATGGCCCATCGTGAGGCCCGTGGCGCGTTCACCCAGGGCCAGCGGGACCCCCCCGTTCCAAACCGACCGTGCCGGGCCCCGGGGGGAGGGGTGTGAGGAGGGGGAGGCATCTCACACGCCGATGACCCCAAGGGGTCGGCGGATTTTGGCTTCGTCGAACTCTGTTGGAGGTCCGCATGTGGTCCTTTGGGGCCCTCTTTGATGCGTGTTGGGCAGTTTTGAAGCCTCACCTTGCCGCCTTGAAACCATTTTGTACCGTCTTCGGGGCATCTTGCACCGCCTTGGTGTCCTTGGTCGCTTGTCTTCTTGGAAGCTCGGGATGCGGACACCTCGTTTTTTTGATTACGATGGATCGTGGCCTCAGTAGCGCGGACCCCTTGCTTTCTTACCAGGGGTCGTGGCTTCGGGAGGGGGGGGGCGGCGCATGCGACTGGACGCGGGTAGGGGAGGGGGTCTTTCTAGATTGCAGAAACCATTGGCAGTCCCTTACGCCTCAACGTGCACAAGGCACGGAAGCGGATATACTTTTGCTCAATGATCCAGTTGTTTTGGGGAACGTCCGCCATCGTGCCAGTGCGGCAGCAGCGTAGCAGAAATGAGGTCGACAGTACGGCCTTTTCAAGTTAAGGTTGGGCGTTGAGCTTGAGCGGGTCTTGAACATCCTCTCTGTGTCCGAAGCCTCGTCCTCGTCTTCCTCCCTTCTCGTTCTTTCTCCTCCTCCTCCTCCTCCTCGTCCTCCTAAGACGGGGAGGAAGAGAATGCACGCGGGAGCAACGTGGAGCTGTCGCTGTGGCGCAACCAACGCCATGCCCTCGATGCAAGCCGCGCTGTGTGACGCAGCCAGCGCACGGGGCGGCGACGGCGGCGGCCACGCTGCCGCTGGGCGGAAGCCCTGAATACCCGGTCGGCGCACGAACCAGCAACGGAAACGACAAGCACCGCGACGACCACGACCCCGAGATCCGACCTTGCCTCCGATCTTGGCATCGCTCGGGAGTGTGCGTTTTTTTTCGGCGAGGACCATCGAACAGCCCTGTGGGTCATCTTACGAATGCGCTCACGAAGCCGACAAATGCACAGGGAATGGACGTCCGAGCGATGTGACGGCGCCGACGTCGTCCCAGGCCTCCGCTGCTGCAACTGTATGCCCAGCGCGGGGTCCCCAGGAAGGCCCCGAGCTTTTCGCCAGGGCAGGCGAGCAAAATCACAGCATCGCTGAAAATCACGACGGGAGCCCTGGACATCATCTTTCTGCTGCACTGTCCGAGACGGGTCGATGCGTGAGGGTCCCTGGGCCCGCGCAGGGAAAAATCGCTTGTTGTGAAAACATGCGACGCCAGGATCTCAGGGAAGCGGCGACGAGGGTAAGCAACGACGACGCACACGGCCACGGCGACAAGTCATTCCAGCGCGGGGGGGGGTCGGCGGCGACGATAGGGGCGTGTTATTGCTGGCATCCGGACGGCGCATCCCGTCCCCGAACGAGGCGCTGCGGGCTGGACTTCGACCCGCAGTCCCGGGACCTGACGGGTTGCGGCTGGCACGCTGGCAGGCCCCGCCCCCTTGATGGATCGGTCGAGGATCGGGGGAGGAGGGAAGAGGAGAAGGGGAGAGAGCGAGAACGAGAGAGAAAGGGAGAGAGAGAGAGAGAGAGAGAGAGAGCGAGAGAGAGAGAGAGAGAGAAAAAAAAACAAAAAAACAATAAGAAGAAGGATCAGGAGGAGGAGGAGGAGGAGGAGGAGGAAGAGACGCCCGAGCCGAGACGGCTGCGGGGACGCTGGCCAAGAGTGAGGCGTTGAGCTCAGCGTAGCCCTACCGCCTCCACCTCCTCTTCTTCCTTTTCCTCCTCCTCCTCCTCCCTCCTCCCTCCTCCCCCTCCTCCTCCTCCTCCTCCTCCTCCTCCTCCTCCTCCTCCTCCTCCTCCTCCTCCCTCCTCCTCTCCTCCTCCTCCTCCTCCTCCTCCTCCTCCCTCCTCTTCCTCCTCCTCCTCATCATCATCATCACCATCATCATCATCCCCCCTGTGCCGGGCAGCTGCGCAGCGCGCTCGGCCGGGGGTCACGCGCGGGCAGCGGCCCAGGAGCTCGCAGGCCAGCCGGCGCTGCCAGGCTGCTGGGCAGGGGCGCCAGCGCTGCCTGGGCGTGGTGTTGGTCGCCGACCTTCGGGGGAGCGTAAGACCCGGGTTTGCCAGGACCCGGGCTCGCCATCGTTTTTTGACGACCGCGCCTCGGATTTTGACGAGGGGGAGGTTCGTGGGATGTCTGCGGCGGGAGGCCTCGTCAAAATGCAGGCTCGGCCTCGTCATTTTTTTTGACGACCTCGTCGGGGATTTCCGAGTCCCCTGTACCCAGGTCTTACGTTCCCTTGAGTGGTGTTGGTCGCCTACCTGGTCGTCGCGGGGCCGGCGATGGTCAGAGCAGTCGCGCGACAGATTGCGTCTGCGCCGCGAGGAGGCGTTGGAGGAGGAAGAGGAGGAGGAGGAGGACATGGGAAAGGGGGAGGAGGAAGGAGGGCGGGGAAGATGGAGCATGCTACGCACTGGAAGAAGAAAGGGAGTAGATGAATTCAGGCATGCGATGTATATACACATATCCGTGACTGAAGTCGCATGGTGGTTTTCGTTCGAGTGTGGACGAGCCTCTAAGCCCATCCAAGAGGCCGATATGTACCTCAACCCAAGATGGCCGTGTGATGGCATCGATTCGGGCGTGGGGTGCTTCATGGTTGCTCCCCTGTGCCCACCTCGCCCCGCTTTCAGGGTCGGATCCCCCGTAGGGTGAGCGGTCCGCGTCCCCCCGGGCACGTACTGCCCGAGGTTCGCGGGGACTCGAGTCTCGAGTAAGGCCCCGTGGCCAAGCGTCCCCGATCGCTCAAGGAGCGGGGCGGCGAGGGTGCAGCCCAAGTGTGGCTTCCCCTATTACGCTCAGCAGAGCGCCTGGCCGCGCATCCGCGGGCCACATGAGCCGCCCACAACGCCCGCCACGGCGGCAGTGGCGCACGTGCTGGTTCGCAGGGAGCTCGTGGGGCCCCCTGGGCACTTCGACCCCGCTGCTGCCACTCCTGGGCGTGGCGCCCGCCGGGCATTCCCAGACTTCCATCGCAGGCCAGCCACAATTGGGGGAGCTGTGGTCCTTACCCCCCTGGGGGACCCATCAATTTCGACACCCCTCTCGAGAGATCGTCGATGCGATGGGTTCCCCCGGGGGGTGAGGACCACAGCTCCCCCAGTTATGGCTGGTCGGCATCTTGTTGGACGGACTTGAGGGGGAACGCCTGAGGGAGACCGGATCAGGCGGGAAACTTCGACCTGAAGCCGACGATAGAGGTCGGCGATGGGCCAGCGATGAGGAAAGCGCACGTCACTGGGAGAGGTGGGGTGCCTGCTCTCGATCGATGATGAATGGGCGATTGGGGGTGGATGCATCTCCCCCTGAGCCTACGATCAGGAATTGTTGCTTGTCGTGTCGCAGCAGCGGCCCGTGCGACACGCTATGCGGCGGCCGTTCGGGACGGTTCCCCCCGGAACGCCCTCGGCGAGGCGCAGCCGCTGGGAGGCATCCCGAGGCTGGAGGCAGCTGCCACGAACAGGCGAACACTTCCGAAAACCTCGACCTCCCCGCCCGAGCCTGGTTGCGCGTGCCCCCTCGAGCGCTGCTCCCCGACCTCGCCCCGCCGCCCGGAGGAGGCCCACCTGAGACCACGGCGGCTCTACCGCCCGGCCCCAGTCCGCTCAAGAGCGGCCCCTGGATTCAGAACGCGCACGGCTCTGCTGCCGACGATGCCAGGGTCCACGGCTTAGGACATCTTCGAGCCACTGGGGGCGCTGCACAGCGTTGCCACCACTGCATGCTTGTCAACAGCCTGGTCAAGAGTCGCCGAGCGCAGTCCGCTCCTCGCAAAGTGCCGACTCGCAAACGCCCGAAAAGAACAGGTGTCCTTCTATGTATAACATGTAACCTAATTAACTGTAGACATCTATCTATGTGTATATATATATGTATATGAGATCCCCCGCGGCAGATCCAGGCCACTTGCGAGTAGTTGATTTACGAGTCGTGGAACGCGCTTGTTCAAAGAGGCGCCCCAGGTTTGGTTGGGGTGCTGGTCGGCTTTTGACCCACGATCCCACATGAAACACAGCAGGAGGAGGAGGAAGGTGGGAGGATGGTGGAGGGGGGGGAGGAGGAGGAGGAGGAGGAGGAGGAGGAGGAGGAGGAGGAGGAGGAGGAGGAGGACGTTCATCCTTTCGGCGTCCCTGACCTCAGGTTCGGTGGCCCGCCTGGGGGAGGAGGCAGAGAGGGCCGGCCTTCTCAGAAGGCCGCGGGGCTTCTCGGAAGGCAGCGAAGCTTGTGAGAAGCCGCTTGCGTCCTTGGGAAAGGCTTCGAAGGTTTCTGAGAATGTGAGAAGGCTTAGAAGGCTGGCTCAGAAGGCTTAGAGGCGTAGAAGGCTTCTGAGCAGACTTAGGAGGCTTCTGAGAAAGCCCTCCGCGTTCTGACAAAGCCAGCCCCCCTATGCCTTCCCCCCGAAAGCGCGCCGCCGAGAGGTGTCCCCAGCACTTCCAGGGAGGCCCCGTGGCCTCCAGAGCACCCCTCGCGCGGCCCAGAGGGCCCCAGGGGCTACACAAAGGGCGCGGCGAGGTGGTGACCCCTCTGGGCCAGGGGCACCCTTGGCGACCCTGGATCCATGGGCTGAGGGTCGCACCCTCCACGAGATCCAGAGGGCCCCAGGGGCTCCACAGAGGGCGCGAAGAGTGGGGGACCCCTTCGGCATTGGGCCAGGGGCACCCTTGGCGACCCCGAAACCGTGGGCTGAGGCTCAGGCCGCGCGCTGGCTGCTCCCGAGAGCTGGAGCAAGCACGCACGGTAGGTTCGCGTCATGTCGACGCGGCGGCCACCCCAGCCAGGGTGTTAGGGGTCGAACGCCGCTGGATGTCCCAGAATCGGCTGACATCGAACGATCTGCGTTAGTGGAAAGTCGCGATCCTTCAAGGTTGCGCGATCCCTGAGCTCGGACGTCACGAAACAGTGCGACTTCGTGAAACAAGTCAACCAGAAGCCCAGACCGCCCCTTTCTGCTGCATGCTTCGAGCTGGATCGATCCGTGAGGGTCCCAGGGCACGAGACAAGACAGAATCGCCTGTTGTGAAGAAATGCGACGCCAGGATCTCAGCGGTTCATGCGGTGTCAGAGACACCAACGCCGAAATCATCACGGCACGAACCTGCCGCAGGCAACAGGAAACCGCCACGGCGGCTTCTTGGCAGGTGCAGACCGCGCGCCGCCGGCCAGAGGCCAGAGGGGGCACGCGGGGAGGCCACAGCACGCCTAAATACAGTCAGAGCGCATACTCGGGATGAGCGAATGCGAGTTGCTCGCGATGCTCGGGTTAGGGGCTCTCTGCCCGCAGGCTCGTGGACGCTTTCATGTGTATAGTGCCTGGAGGCTATGCTGAACCCGCTGAGGGTTGGGATGTGTGGCGCGACCAAGAAAACAAATCCCAAGGTTATCATTGCATCATTCCCCTTTGGCCCATCCGTGGCGCCTTTTGCTGGCCGAACCCCGCTCGAAAAGTGTTGGCACGACCTTCCAAGGCCCTTGCATCCTTATCGTGTCTCCTTATTCCACGTGTTGGCTGTACGTCGTGTCCAGCGTGCATCAGCAGAAACCTCTGCTGAGCTCTTAGGTGGGTCCAGGTCACTGGGTCAGTTGTCACAGAACAGTCCGGGGACCCAAGAGTTGGAAAGTGTGGATCCGAGACCAGCAGTTTCAATATTGTACATGTGGTACACGCGCAAATGCACACATCTGTTATCATGATGTCCCCCTCCAAGGAGAGGATTAGCACCTCAGAGGCAAGGACAACCACACGCACCATCACAGTCTCCTGGACAGGTCCTTGTGATAGCTAAAATGGGTAGTTCGCATTTGAAATGAAAGTCGGGACGCGGGTGGTTCGCCGGGTGGGTCGCGGGTGGGTCGCGGGGCGGGTCGTGGGTGGGACGACGAGAACAAACAAAAATAATATGTGCCGCGGAACGCCACTTCAGCCACGCACACAAGGAGACTGAATGAATGACCTGACCGTTCGGCCCCCTCTTTCTGATATATGTATATATATATACACACATTCACACGTGTCGACATAGACACGCACACACACACACTTCCTGACTGTATGTGTGTACATATATTCGTAAATGAATACATGTATTCCCCAATCGGTGCTTGCACTGAAGGGGTCCTCGCGGATGTTGAAGGATTTGGCGAAAGTGCCCCGCCGATTTTGGTCGCACGCTGGGTTCCCGGGTTCCCACTCCGGGTTCTCGGGTTCCCGGGTTCCTGGTCGATCTTCTTATTGATCGGTCTCACCATCGATCTCATGACCTACTTCTCGATCGATCTCACTATCGATTTCACTAGAGATCGCATGAGCGATCTCGCGATCGATCTCACTATCGATCTCATTGAGTCGATTTCACTCTCGGTCTCACGATCGACCTTAGAATCGTCTTTACGATCAATTATACGATCGATCTCATTATCGATGCCACAAATGATCTCAAGATCCCTAGTATTTATTTTCAACTCATCCACTGATTGGATTTTCTCCGGTGTAGTGTATATATATATATATACATACATACAGAAACTGCCTTCCTGGGTCCTGGGAGATCGCTTCCTGAAGTGTGGCCATGGACAACTCCCTGACTCGCAATGGCAGAGGAGGACCTTGGCCCACCGACTCCACGGGCGCTGTGTTCGCCCATCGCCTTGCCTAAGAAAAGGATCATGGCCCAGGAATCCGGCGCTCCGAGTTCGGCATTTTTTATGTATGTATACAAATATACAGAATTAAGTATGCATACATGAATACATACACATCCATGAGATCGAATTCCAAAGTGGTAGGTATGGGCAACCCCCTGACTCGCAATGGAGGAGGAGGAGGAAGATCATGTCCCACTGACGCCACGGGTGCTGTGCTCGCGCATCAGCTTGCCTAAGAAAAATGGATCATGGCCCAGGAGTCTGGCGCTGCGATTGTTGTTCGGCGCGTGGCCGATCTTCGTTCGGCGCGTGGCCCAGGGCCAGCCTCTCATGCACGACCCGTTCTCTGACCGTCCCGATGCCCAAAACTGGCCTCCAGAGATCGGGGGCGGCCAAGAGCGGAGTGGTTCGGACGGGACCAACTCCTCCTCCACCACATCCTCCACCACCTCCTCCTCCTCCTGTCGGGTGGGGCTAGGACGACCTCCTATTCCTCGTCCTCCTCCTCCTCCTCCTCTTCATTCTCCTCCTTCTCCCCTCTTCCTCGTCCTCCTCCTCCTCCTCCTCCTCCTCCTCCTCCTCCTCCTCCTCCTCCTCCTCCAGGGTTGCTGACGAGGGAGAGCGTGGAGCAGGCAGACGGAGGGCTGGCGGTCAGCGCGCAGGCGTGCTGTTCGGGCGCGCGGCGACCTTCCCCTCCTCCCCAGCCCGCGCATCCCTCAGCTGGCACGTTCGGCGCACACATCGGGGGAGCACAAAGAAATCCTCCTCCGCCTCCTCCTCCTCCTCCTCCTATTCCTCCTCCTCCTCCTGTCGGGCGGAGCTAGGACGAGAATCGTTCCGGAACGATCTCAGAGCGTTCCGGAACGCTCTGAGAATGCCGCTGTGCCCCAGGCATCTTCAAGAGCCGCCAGATCCCAGAGATTATCGATTTATCTCTCCCGATTTGATCGTCGTCCAGGCTATGTCTGTGTGGTGTTTTTCTGGGGTGGAGGTATCACGGCTGAGGCCATGACATCTCCACGAATGGCATGGCCCCCTTCGTATTGTTTCACTACATCCCGAGGCCCTCGGGGCCGCTCACGTGCCTCCCTTGCGATCCGACGTTGCCAAAACAATGTGACATCGCAAAAAATCACGACCAGACCCCCAGACCCAAAATTGAACGAAAAACGCCCGACTCGAAAAAAATGGAGTCGCTAGGATCTCAGGGTCAGGCCATGATATGCGACCCCATCTCTTGGACGCCCCTCTACTCTCAGACCCTCGACGTCCCCATTGTTTCATAACGTCGACCCCCAGAGGTCTCGACCCATCCCTCGGGACTGGCTGTTCATCCCGAGTCGGTGCTCGATGGCCCCGGGGCTCCACAGTCAGAAAAGGAGAGCAACAACATGTGCTGTACTTTCTGCACGACCCGAGGGGCTCTGGGTTGGACGCCCTCGATGACGGCAAACTGGCCGCGTTGTTTTTGATTGTCGAGGCGCCGTGCAGATGCTTCTGGGGCGAGCGGTCGCAGCCCAGCAGGTTCGCCCCCTTCGACCCCGACGGCGTGGCGGTGGGGCGCGCGACCAGCAAAGATTTCGAGCGCCGCGCGCGCGACATCATCAAGGCCGCCGGGTTTTGCTCTCGGAGGAGTAGAAATCGAAGACGAAGAAGAAAGACGAAGAGGAGGAAGAAAAACCAGAAACGGCATTCGGCCACGCGCAGAGGGGGGTAGCGGGGAGGGGGAAGGCTTCGTAGAAACACCCCTGCCTCTTAAAAGGCGCGGGCCTTGTCCGTAGATGTGGGGCTGGTGCCTCCTAAGAAGCATTTCCTTCTAGTGAGAAGCCTCCCCCTCCCCATACCCCCGTGTGCGCGCCGCCAAAGCATAAAACAATTACCCTACGACGTACCCAACCCATTTGCATCCAGTGGCAAGATGAGTTGGCCAACATTCGTATACATGGCGATGACGCAGGAACCGGCAGCTGTTGTGCAAAGCAACATAGCACGCGCGCGCCTTGCACGACTCATAGGACAGCCACAGAAGGACGAGGAGTGAAGCCCCCTAAAGGATTGCGAGGTCCCGCTCTGATCTGCGAAGCACTGCACTAAGTTGCCCCCCCAAAGAGCCCACGAAAGTGGCGACCGTTTTGCAGTTCGAATCCCCCTAGAGATGGTGAGGTCCCGTTCTGATCTGAACAGCACCGCGCTAAGCTGGCCCCCCTAAGCAGCCCTCGAAAGTGGCGACACGTTTGCAGATCGCAGCCCCCCCAAGGATGGCGACACTAAGACGTCACTCCGCTGCTCCCCCCAGCAGCCCTCGAATGTGGCGAGAGCTTCACATTTCGCAATTCCCCAGGGATGGCAAGGTCTAATCAGAGTCCGCGTAGGCCCCGACTATGCTGCCCCCCAGCAGCCTTCGAACGTAGGGACAGTTTCACACTCCGCAGCCCCCCAGAGATGGCGAGGTCTAATCTGAGTCCAGGTAGGCCCCGACTATGCTGCCCCCCCAAGCAGCCCTCGCAAGTGGTCCCCGTTTCACACTTCACAGCCCCTCCCCCCAGGGATTGCGAGGTCAAATCTAAGTCCGCGTAAGCCCTCGAGTATGCTGTTCCCGCCAGCAGCCCTCGAAGGCGGGGACACTTTCACTTCTCGCAGCCCTCCAGGGATGGCGAGGTTAAATCTGAGTTCGCGCAGGTCCCGACTATGCTGCCCTGCCCACCCCTAGCAGCCCTCGACCGTGGAGCCAGTTTCACACTTCGCAGCCCCTCCCCCAGGGACGGCGGGACGGCGACGTCTGATCTAAGTCCGCGTAGGCCCTCAACTATGCTGGCTCCCCCCGCAGCCCTCGAAAGTGAGAACACTTTCACACTTCGCAGCCTCCCTAGGGACAGCGAGGTTTAATCAGATTCCGCGCAGGCCCCCGACTGTGCTGCCCCCCCAGCGTCCCGCGAAAGTGGCGACAGTTTCACATTTCGCAGCACCCCCAAAGATAGCGAGGTCTAATCTGAGTCCGCGTGTGTCGACTATGCTGGCTCCCCCAGCAGCCCTCGACAGTGGCGACACTTTCACCCTTCACAGCCCACCAGGGATGGCGAGGTCTGATCTGACTCCGCGTAGGCATCGACTAGGCTGCTCTCCCCAGCAGCCCTCGAATGTTGAGACGGTTTCACACTTCGCAGCCGCGATAGCGAGGTCTAATCTGAGTCCGCGTAGGCCCCCGACTATGCTGGCCTCCCCAGCAGCCCAGCCCGCGAAAGTGGGGGGACTTTCACACTTCGCAGCCCCCCCCAGGGATGGCGAGGTCTAGTCTGAGTCCGCGTAGGCCCCGACTATGCTGGTCGGCCCCCCAGGGATGGCGAGATCTAATCTGAGGCCGCGCAGCCCCCGACTAAGCTGACCGCCCCTATCAGCCCTCGAAAGTGTGGACACTTTCACACTTCGCAGCCCCAGGATGGCGAGGTCTAATCCGAGTCCGCGCAGGTCCCGACTGGGCTGGTCCGCCCAGTAGCCCTCGAATGTTGCGACACGTTCACATCTCGACGTCGCCAAGAGGTGTCGAGGTAGGAGGCAGGCTGGCTGGCTGGTCGGAGGCAAGCACGAGGCAGGACGGCAGAGGAGGAGGGAGGAGCGGAGAAGGGAGGTATGAGGCAGGAGGAGGCGCGACCCCACTGGTCAAAGGGAAGGGGAAGGAGGCGGAGGCACGACCCTAGGTACTTGTCTATCCGAAGAGGGAACCCCACGCAGGAGGGCTGCGGCACGTCGAGACATCGCACGTCGGGGTCTCGCCCTCGGCGGAGGGCGGCGCGGAGGCGGCGCGAGGGCGGCTCCGCTGGCGAGAGGCCGGCGGCAGGTCGGCTGAAGCAAGCGAAGCATCACCGACTGCATAGCTGTAGAAGTTGCAGGAGAGAAAGAAACACACAGACACCTATTAATCGTCGATTCCCAGAGAAATATGCGAAACTATGGGAAGTGGTGGGGGGAAGACAAACAGCCAAGAACATATAGGAACATGTGGGGAATCCTGTTATTTGTGTGCATGTATTTGTGTGTCCCAGGGCCTCTTCAAAGTTGTCGGAAGTCTGCGCAGATTTCGCGAGGTTTGGCGCCTGGCCCCCACTGGTGGCACCTCGAGCGCCGCCCCGCGCGCCAGGGAGGGAGGGGGGGGTGCAGCGCCGATCGAACACATCCGCGCGGGTCTCCGGATGTTCGTGTTCGGGCACTTGCTTCTTTCTCTAGAAGTGCGGCGCCCAGAGTGGCGTGTGGAGAATCCCGGAGACCGCGAGCGGATGGATTGGAGTGAAGTCCAGGGAATGGACTTCACGAAGCAGCGTGTCAACCGCGACGATCGCACAATGTTATGTGACGCCAATTACGGTGGTGCTTGTAGGCACGTGTGTGCCTATAGGCAAGCGAAGTTGGAGATGAAGATGTGCACGGTTACCTGCGAGTCGTGCTGGAGAAGTTGCTGACCTGAGTAGACTAGAGTTGAGCTCTTTCGGGCGGTTGTGTAAGGGTGCCAGCAGCCAGCGCCGATGCTCCTGGAGATTGATGTGGCGGTAGGCAGTGGGGCCGCTGGGTTGTTGTGGCCAGCCTTGCCTGCAGTCGGCAAGTGGCCATATCAATATCAGTGTCCCGCTTGACTGTGGATGGTGACAATGCGGGAATAGTCACGTGTTGCGCAAGCTACATGGGGTGCCCGCCCGTTGCACGACTCACAGGACGCTCGCCCAATGTTGGGAGAAGCTGGAGCTGGCGGGGGCGCCAGGAGAAGCCGAGACGCTAAGTCTGCGTGACACCCCACTCCGCTGGGCCTCCCAGCAGCTCTCGAACGTGGCGACATTTCCGCACTTTGCAGTCCCCAAGGATAGTGATGTCTAATATGAACCCCATACAAGCCCGCACTACGCTGGCTCCCCCGGGCAGCCCTTAAATGTGTCGACAGTTGCGCATTGCGCAGCCCCCCCAGGGACCCGCGAGGTCTCGACAGGATCCGTTCGGCACCCCACTCTACTGGGCCTCCTAGGAGCCCACGAAAAAAACTACAGTTGCGCACTTCGCAGCCCCCCCTGGGACCCGCGAGATCTCGACGGGATCTGCTTGGCACCACATTCCGCTGGGCCTCCCAGGAGCCCACGAACGTGGCAACAGTTGCGCACTTCGCAGCCCCCCTGGGACCCGCGAGGTCTCGACGGGATCCGTTTGGCACCACATTCCGCTGGGCCCTCCAGAAGCCCACGAAAAAGGCAACGGGAAGCCAACAAGGAGGCCAGGGGAAGAAGCGAGAGGAAGGCACAAGGAGGAGGAGAAAGGAGGGAGGCAAGGAGGGAGGAAGGACGGGGCGACCACAGTGCTTTATTCAAAACGAGAACCCAACGCGGAGGTTTGGTAAATTATCGACACTTCGCTCGGATTTCTTCCGGGTCCTCCTTCGCGTGTTAAGGAGGGGGGTTCAGCGCCGACCAAGGACTCCGCGCGGATCTCCGATTGTCTATCGGATGGCCTTCGGCCGCCCCCCCCCCCCGCCACCGTGCCTGGGCTGTTGGGATGAAGCCTACTGGATGTCCGTTGGGATCTCGTGGGAGGCTTCCCAGGGGCCTCTTGGAGGCAGTTGGGACGCCTCTTGGGGGCCGTTTGGGGGCTTCTTTGGGGCCTCCTGCGCACCTCTTTGGGCCTCCTGGGGGCCTCTTGGGGCGGAATGCTCGCATGTTCGGTGCGTGTGTCCCTCTTCTTGGGCCCCTTCTGAGGCCGTCTTGGGTCACTCCTGGGCCCGAAGAAGTATCGCGCAACCACGCCAGGAACCCCAGGGGGCACCCGACACCGATCGACTACACGTAAGAGTAACATTTCGCCGGAGTGACCTTTGGTGCGGGCTCACCAGGGTCCCCCTGATCGCTGAGCGAGATACGATAATAGCTGCTTGCGCGCTCGGATTGGCCACCTTGCGCCCCTTTCATCCACACACACTAAAGGTCACTCTTGCTTAGGGTCACTCTTGCGTGTAGCCGACCCGAGAGATTTGGCAATTTGGGTTCCGGGGCCCTGTAAGACTCGCCAGGGCTGAGAATTGAGGCTCTGGGGCTCGGGCAAAGGACCTGAGGACACGCCCACTCCGTGCCCAGATGCACGGTGGCGGATTTGAATGGAGTTGTTCTTCGTCTGGGGCAGGGAGTCATGATGATGATGCGTTCCAAGTTGGAGCCGGCTAATAGCTGAGGTGGCCAAGCATTGGTTTTGGCAAGCGAGAAGGAGGAAGAAAGGGTCACCCTCGTCGCCACGGCTGGACGTGGCTCGGAATACTGTTTCGTCCCCAGGTCCGGGAACAGATGTTGAGCGGATTTGTTCTCGTTCTCCCTTCATGACATTTTCTCAGGACCCATCCAGCGCAGACCCCCAACTGGTTCCGAGTCTGAGGATTTCCAGATCCTCTCCGTCTTCCGCGCGGGCTTCAGGAGCGAGGGCCACCGTTTGCTCCAGAGCTTCCTGGAACCGAGTACCCCGTCCCCCAGTCCCCCGCAATTGCAGACCAGAGTGAGACGGCGCGCGGTCCAGCCAAGGGTGGGTCGCAGGGTGTGGATCGCGGGCGGGTCGCGGGGCGGGTCGCGGTTGGGTCGCGGAGTGGGTCGC